ACGCGTCTCCTCCGGAGCAGCTCTCCGTCCCAGACCCCTGTCTGGCCACCACCCCCTGTATCTATAGAGGGTGGTGGTCTGGCTTGGATACAAGAGACTAACACGGCTGCCCCCACTGGAATTCCCTCGGCCCTCCTTTTATGGCCCGACAAAAGCCCTTCTGCGAAGCAGCGGTAGCTCCAAAGGGCCTCCACAAGGCTGCCGAGGCTTTGACTTGAGAGCCCGCCCCCTTAAAGGATGCTGGGGGAAATGGCTTCCTTGAACAGAGACCACGGTGCAGCAGCGCCACCTCTTCCCGACAGTGGGCAGTCCAACGAACAAAGCAGTGCACTGCAAACCCGACAGACCCCAATCCTTCCGGGCCTCAAACCAGCTCCCAAAGAGGGCATCCCGCCCACATCCGGACCCGGTGCGGCATTCGCCAGCCAGGACAACCCCCCCCCCCCCCCCCCCCCCCCGCCGGCCCCTTTCTTCTTCCTGTCCACCACTGTGTGGCCACGCATCAGGGGAAGCGGAAATCCCTTTAGCCCCTTCGACCCACCTTTGGCCAATGCACTGTAGCAGGTCCCAGTTCAGGAGTCTGAGAAAGGGTGACTAACAGTCCCGCGCAGAAGAGACTCCTGGCCACCGTTTCTGGTGCTGCCCACTCTCAATAGCAGGGGGAGGACAAGCCCATTGCTGCCGATTTCAAAACTGAGGGGGAGGGGAGGGGAGGGGAGGGGCACTCGTTGCACCCTTTTCTCATTTGATTGTTTTGCCTCCCACCACCCCACCCCACCCCGGACCCTCACCTGGCAAGCGCAAAACGTTCTCCTATGGCAGTGGTGGCGAACCTATGGCACGGGTGCCAGAGGTGGCACTCAGAGCCCTCTCCTGCGGGCACACGTGCCACCGAGGACACGGGAGACCCCGGAGCTCCACCAGCTGCTGACGAACCCACCCGATGGCAGGAGAGCGGGCTTCCTTCTGAACGCCCCCCAGGGCCCGTCGCAACTCCAGGAAGAGCAAGCAGCAAGGTACCTGTGCCCTGCAGACAATGAGCAGTGCTCTTTTGGAAGGAGGGGGCAAAGAACGCGGCTGCCTGCCTGCCTGCCCTCCTTTTCCTCCTGGTAAGAACTTCAGAGAAGCCAATGTTGGATCAGGCCCATGGCCCCTCCAGTCCATCACTCTGTGTCACACAGTAGGGGCCAAAAAAACCAGGTGCCATCAGGAGGCCCACCAGTGGGGCTGGTGTAGAGCAAACCATGATGAAGCCCGGCATTCCGCTCTTTCAAGGTCTCCTTGTAATTCCTGGCCATCGGGTGGGTCCTCCAGCCCCGGCAAATTCTGCCACGCTGCCTATTCATTTCCTCCTGTTTCTAAGGCTGCTTTTAAAAAGCAGACCGTGCGCAACACCCCTCTGCCTCCCTCCCGCCAGTTGCACATCCAATCCCTTCCACAAGCGTGGAGATTACTGGAAAGCCACTGTAAGAGGAGCACGGATTACAAAGCAACAAGAAGAGGAGCAGACAAATCCCAAAGGATGGCAGGGTGCATCAACAGAGGGCGCAAGAGGCTGTAGGGGGAAGAGAAGCGTCCGTGAAACATTGGCACAACAAGAGGTGAAGGTAAACATGCAACTTCGGAAAAACTTAAGGTGCTTTGCTCTGTGCATCAGAAAAGAAGACACCTGCCAGAGACCAGGGTGGCGACACCTCCCTTCTGCCAGAATGCAAAGTCGGTAGCCTCTTGCTCACTGCGGAGTCCCAAGCAACTGCAGAACAGAGCAGCGGGTGGGCCTTTCCCCCCCACCTCAAAAAGGCTGTAATTATGCAGTGCCCAAAAGCAACCCTGAAGAGGGAGGAAAGTCACTTGCCAAAGGGAAATGCTTCCCCGCTCTTTAGACTGGGAAGAAGCCCACAGATCTCCTGCACCAGACCTTTCGGAAAGCTCTGGACAAAACCTCTCACCAAGGCTGCTAAGAAATCTCAGCCACAGGGAAGAGGACCGGTGAGACCAGCCACGAGCGAAAGAGCAGTAAGCAGAGAGCTGAACTCAGCAGAGGGAAGCAGGAAACGACCCCACTCCACCCCCCAGATGGGCAAGGAAACCACTGCTTTTTAATTTGCACGATTTATTTTCTGCTCTCACTGGAATGGTGGCTTTATGGAGTATGAGATCACCTGCCCCAAGAAGCTTACAATCTAAAACATGATTGAAGCAGGTGCAACACAGGAGACTGAAGCAGGTGTAACCCAAGAAAAGAACCCCTGTGATTGGGTTTTGTTTCTGCAAGAAAGGAAGGGGGAAGAAACAGGAGTAACACACAGAAAAAGGAGTTGGGGGTCAAGCCGCGAGAGGTGCAAAGGACACCAGCGGTGAAAGGCTGTCTGGCGGTACGGGCAGTTCAACAGGGGGTGACGCAATCTGCAATCGAAATCCCAACCCCCCAAACACAGGCAGGATCTGAACCTTCAGTGGCTCTTTAAACAGGACACAGATCTTGGGGCCAAAGCAAAACACTCTGTGGAGGGGTCTTGCTCCGGGTGCTGAAACAGGAGCCCAGTTAAAAACCCGACAAAACCCCAAAGTAGAACGTTGTGCCCTGCCCCCATTTCAGAGCTGGTCCGTTCATCACCCACAGGGGTGTGTGGGCAGGAAAAGCTTGGGGGGGGGGGGGAGCCAGCTTAGGAAACACCTCCTTCACATAGCACATGATTCATCCTTCAAATTCATTGTCGTAATTGCCATCATCAAAATCTTTGCACCGCTATGTTTTGCAGGACATCTGGTGATTCACTGATCTTGCTGTTCAGTGAGCGCCAGAATGGATCCCTGTGTGACGACGGCCTACTGCATGGGATCACAAGCGAGTTCCCCTCGGTTCCCCGGGATGAGCAGAAGTTGCAGACCTGATGCAGCCCAGCAGCCTTGGGAGAGCCCTGGCCCTCCTTCCGGGAAGCTGCCTGGAGTCTTCTGCGTCCGGCTCCTCGCTGGCCTGTGGGGCGCCTTGCCCCCCTCCACCAACGGGCACTGTCCCCCCCCAGGGTTCTGCGGCCTTCTTCCCAGGGGTCAGGTGCTTCAAGGATCACCTCCAGCTCTGAGTCGCCATCACATGAACTCCTCTCCTGCAGACACAAAAGGGACTGGCAGAGCCCGGCATCGCTCCCACGGCAAGCCTGACACAACCCCTGGACTCCAGCTGCACCCCAGCCGGTTCTGCACGTCTCCACCACCGCTGTGACAGACTGATCCGCACATCTGGGCAGCCCACCCCACCCCCTTGCCACAGAGGACACGGACGACTCAATCA